CATCTAGAAAATGCCCACCCCGAAAAACCATCGGAAATAATTCCACATTCGGTGCCGATTCGTTGATTTTTTGGGCCGCGGAAGCCTCCCACCACTTTGGGTCGTCGCCGCGCCATGCTATGTCAGGCTACGCGTACTCATTTCCGCGCTTCCGCGCTGAGTTTGTTTTGTTGTTTTGTTGTTTGTTTATTTGTTGCTTGTTTTGTTGTTATTGATCCTTCTTTGTTTTTCAAAATGCTGCTCTCGCTGAAGTGCTGGCCTCATTTTCGGGCTACCGCTCGTTCCGAATCGCGCTCCCGCTGCAGCTTTGTCCTCATTTCCGCGCTTCCGCTGGTTCCGAATCCTGCTCCCGCTGCAGCGCTGGCGTCATTATTTCCAGCGCCATACCACGGCATGGCTTTCAGTCCTTCCATATAGGACCCGACGTGTAGAAAATGGACCCTTGAATAAACCATCGGAAATGATTACACATTCGGTGCCGATTCGTTGATTTTTGGGGCCGCGGAAGCCCCCGCCACTGTGGAGCGGCGCCACGCCATGCTATGTCAGGCTACGCGTCCTCATTTCCGCGCTTCCGCGCTTGTTTTTTTCAAAACGATGCTCTCGCTGAAGTGCTGGCCTAATTTTCGGGCTACCGCTCGTTCCGAATCGTGCTCCCGCTGCGGCGCTGGCCTCATTTCTGCGCTTCCACTGCTTCCGAATCGTGCTCCCGCTGCAGCGCTGGCGTCATTATTTCGAGTGCAATGCCCCGGCACGGTTTTCGGTCCTTCCAACTAGGCCCCAAAATCTAGAACATGGCCTCTCGAAGAAAGCATCGGAAGTGATTCCACATTCGGTGCCGATTTGTTGATTTTTGGGGCCGCAGAAGCCCACCCCCCCACCTTGGGGCGTCGCCACGCCATGCTATGTCATGCTACGCGTTAATCTCCGACACCGTGCTATGCCATGTAATGCTATGCCATGCTACGACATCCGATTGTGCGAATAGAGAGGAGATCTACGTCATGGTAAGGGATGGGAGGGAGGAGTAGGACGTCAGATATGACGCGAGCGCACCCAGCCTGCCCCCACCCCCTCTCCCCCTTCTCCCCCCCTCTCCCCTTCCCTCCCTCGACCCTCCCCCTCCCCCCCTCTCCCTTTTCCGGGCCTCGGCTATTCTCGCGGTGCAGCCGGACCGAGGCATGAGGTCGAGGCCGGTTCGGGGAGGGTACCCTCGTGTTCTTCGTGCTTGTTGGGTGTTCTCTTGTGCAGCCTGGCGAGGGTACCCTTGGATGTTCTATTTGTTGTGGCCGACGGAGGGTCTCATGTTCTTGAAGGATGTTTTTCTGGCCCAGGTCCGACTGTAAAGGGCGACGGCTTTTCTCGTCACGCCCACGTGTTTGACGGACGCTCGCTCGCTCGCGCGCGCCTCTCGCTCCACGGGCCGCACAGACCCTGCTGGCGGATGATGTCAGGCTTGGCGGGCGTTTGGCGGGCGATGGCGATGGGGGGAGGCGGGTCACGGGGATATGTCGGCCCTCACTCTTGTCGGCGGCAAGCGAGGGGGGGACATGAGAAGGAGAAGGCCTTCTCAGAAGGTGGCGGGGCTTCTCAGAAGGCATCCAGCCTTCTGAGAGGTTTTCTGAGTCTTCGGGGAAGGCCTTGACAACTTTTCAGACGGCCAGGGGACTTCCGAGCCTTCTGAGAAGGCCCGCCCTTTCTCACTTCCCCCCGGGCTCGCCGCCGAATGTTGGCCTTCACTTTTGCTTCCAAGCCAAGGGCATTGGGCCCCTCTGCAAGGACGGGACCAGTTTGGCGGCGGGAGTCGTAACTGGTGGGCGGACGGGAGAGAGAGAGAGAGATAGAGGGGGGGGGAGGATGCCCAGACGGTGCCGACAGGATCCAGCAGTTTGGGATCACACGCTTGGAGGGATGGAGAGGAGGCGGAGGACGCACCGCTATGGATGGACGTTTTAGTCGAAAGCTCGCTGCTGCTTCTGGTGTGTTTTTTGTGCCACGCAGCGAATGGGATGGACAGGTCCTTGTGCCTCGTGAACGACGCTGTACTCTACGAGGACGTGCTGCGAATCTTTCCTGTACAAACGGCACTCGGGGGGAGGGGGTGACACTTTACCAGAACATGTGTGACGTTTCTTGTGTCCTCACCAGCTCATCCACCCGGCGAGTTGCGTGCAGTGGAATGCAGAGGGGGGGGGCGGTAGTTGCTATTCTGAAAAGGGGGAAGAGGCGGAAAGAGAAGGACGCGAAGGCATAGTTGGGTGAGGAGGAGGAGGAGGACGAGGAGGAGGAGGAGGAGGAGAGGAGGAGGAGGAGGAGAAGGCGGAGGCGGAGGAGCAGGAGAAGGAGGAGGAGCAGGAGGAGAAGGAGGATGAGGAGGTGGAAGAGGTGAGGGGGAGGAGGAAAGAGGATGGCGTGCAGAAGGAAGATGAAGCACACGGAAAGCGCTCTCACTCGATGTCAGACAAACCATATGTGGGAAGAGGATACGGATGAAAAAATGTCAACGGGGATGATGATAATAATAAAGTTGATCATGAAGTGGGATGGTGATGACGATACTGCTGCTGCTGCTGCTGCTGATGATGCCGATTCTGATGATGCTGCGGTTGATGATGCTCATGCTGATGATGGCGATGCTGCTGAAAATGTTGATCATGACATTGGCGATGGTGATGCTGATGGTAATAAGTGGGATGGGGCTGGTGAGGATGGGGATGGTGCTGCTGCTCATTATGATGCTGCTGCTGGTGATGATAAGGAAGATGATGATGATGGCGATGGTGATGCTGATGCTGATAGTGATGACGACGACGAAGATGATGATGACGATGACGATCGTGATGATGATGATGGTTATGGCCATGATGCAGATGATGCTGCTGCTGCTGATAATGATGCTGACGATTATTCGTATTATTCGTAATCGCACTCTTCTGTGCGTTCATTGTTCTGTAAGTAAATTGTAAGTTCTGGTGTCAGTTCTTGTATGATCAGTCGTAATAGTCTGGCCATTATTATCATTGTTCGTACCAGTATGTGCTCGTATTGCGATTACTCGTAATATATGATTGTGAATCGTTGCTGCATTGTATGTATTAGTCTTGTTGTTTTTTTCGTATTCTGACTGGTATTATGACTATTCGTATTGCTACTATGATTATGATGAAGGTGATGCTGATGCTGATGATGACGTGGATAATGATGATGCCGATGATGATGATGATGATGATGATGATGATGATGATGATGATGATGCTGATGATGATGATGATGATGATGATGATGGTAATGATGACGAGGATGATGCTGACGATGATGCTGATGATGGTGATTCTCATGACTGTTGTTATTATCATTGCTATTGCTCGTCGCATTATTTGTATTAGTAGTATTGCTATTATGATTGGCAGTCCTATTGTTACTGTGTTATCAGTTTTATCGGTTTTACCATTTTTATTGTTCTTCTAACCCTTATTCGTATTTCTATTACTAGTCGTATGCTTCTTGTTTTTAGTTTTAGCATTCGCATTTGTTGTGTCCTGACTACTTGTACCATTACTATTCGTATTATCAGTATGATTGTGATGGTGCTGATGATGCTGATGATGATGCTGATGATGATGCTGATGATGATGATGGTGATGCTGATGATGAAGATGGCGATGCTGCTGCTGATGATGATGATGCTGATCATACTGATGATGATGCTGATGATGATGCTGATGATGATGCTGATGATGATCATGACCAGGATGCTGACGATAACGCTAATGATGATTGTGGTCGTGATTATGATGGTGATGATGGACACGTCGAGGATGAGGAGATGGTAGTCGGACGACGACGACGACGATAGTCAACCCTAAAATTTTTTGCCGATCTTTCGCTTGGAGCCTTTTGAAGGCCTCTGGTGTCCTTCTTGGGGTCTTACCCTGCCGTTACTAAAGTGTTTGACCATTCTTGCAAATCCCAAGGACGGACCTGCGGCCAGCGCGCCCTCGGGCAAAACTGAACGACGGACATCTGCCCATGCAGATCTGAAGCCGCTCACCCTCGTAAAACACAGGCGGAGTAAGTTTCGGTGGACGCGGAGTATGTTTTCTTGAGCAAAAACACAGCGCGGGGTAAGTTCAACAAGAACGCTGAGTAAGTTAATCCAAGTCAAAAAACGTGCGGAGTAAGTTTGTACACCGTAATAAATTTGTAATACTAAGGAGAAGCGGTGTGGGCGGGATCCGAAACCTACTCCGCGACAGGCGGATGCCATGTTGTAGGATCCTACGGGGGGAGGGGGGTCCGTCGACGAAATGGTCAAAACTTTGGTAACGGCATTGTAGTCTCTTGGGCTTCCCTCGTGGGCCTCGAGGGCCCTCTTCGGGCCATCTTGGATGTCATCCATCACAACGGAGGGCGGGTCCCACATTAGCCACCCCCCCGTCGGATTCCGAGCAGTTGCTTCTTGCAGCCCTCCTGGGGCGCTCTTGTGGCGTTCTTGGGCGCTCCTGGGGCCGCCGTGTATGAAGTCACTCTCGCGGATGGGGGGGATTAGCGGCACCACCACCGGCAGGGCCACCCCCGGGCGAGGAGGTCCACGATACCCCCCTCCCGGAGCTGGAAATTGGAGATGCGTGGCGCCGACGCGCAGCTTCTACATGCCACCACGATGATCCTCCAGTGCCCCCCTGCGATGGTGGTGCTGGCGGCGCTCGTCTTCCTTGCCCCTGCAGTCCAGACGCTGAACGATGGACCACCTCGGGCTCTGGATGGGGCTGAGCGTCGGCCGTTTCTCGGGTGTAGGTCGGGGAGTCCTCTCCCGACCGAGGCCCATAGTGTCCAGGAGCGCCCCCTCGTTCCTTAGTGGGCGCTTCTCATGGTAGCACGATGACTGTACCTCTTGTCTCTTCTCCCCCCGTGGCTCGAGGACAGGCTGCTCCAGATCGGCGTCAAGGCGGAGTACTCGGGCTCGGAGGGGCGCCTGGCCGTTTATTTTGCCAACAAAGGCCGTCCCAGCTCCTGTCGTCGTCGGCGTCGTCGGCGTCGTCGTGCAGTCTGTCTGCTTGTCTGCCTGTCTGTCTGTATGTCTGTCTGTCTGTCTGCCTGTCTTCCTGCACGCCTGCCGCCCGTCGGTCGATGACAAAGAGGACTGTGTGTACGACGGAGAAGGAGAGAGTACGAGCAGCAGCAGGAGAGAGGGGAACTGCGGGGGGGAGGGGGGAGGATGCGTATGATGATGAGAAGTAGGGGGCGACGACGACGATGATGATGCTGCTGCTGATGATGACGATACTGATTATGATTATGATGATGGTACTGACGATGATGATGATGATGATGCTGATGATGATGGTGATGATCATGATCATGATCATGATTGTGCTGATGATGCTGATGATGACGATGGTGGTGATGATGATGATGATGATGGTGCTGATGATGATGACGATGCTCATGCTGCTGCTGATGATGATGATGACGAAGATGATGATGACGATGATGACGATTCTGCTGCTGATGATGATGCTGCTGATGATGCTGCTGATGATGATGATGATGATGATGATGATAATGATGATGATGTTGCTGATGATGATGATGATGATGATGCTGATGATGATGATGATGATGATGATGATGATGATGATGCTGTTGCTGCTGATGATGATGATGGTGGTGATGATGATGATGATGATGAGGAGGAGGAGGAGAAGGATGAGGAGGAGAGGGAGGAGGAGGAGGAGGATGAGGAGGAGGATTGTGAGGAGGAGGAGGATGAGGAGGAGGAGGGGGAGAAGGAGGAGGGGCAGGAGGAGGAGGAGGGGGAGGAGGAGGACCAGTGTAAACCCAAGACTCATCAACGATGTTGGAATACACCCTTCCTCCGAGCTTCATCTTCACAGGCCCATACAAGTGTTCGTTTCCACTGAGGGAACTGCCCCGTTGAGGGACACTTGTGTGAAAATCTTGAAGCGTGCCAAAACACAATTCTCAGGACTTCAACGCCACGAGTCAACCTGACTGTTGCGTCTTGACGGTCCTGAATCGTGCCAGAACACCATTCCTGTGATGTCAACACCGCGAATCAACGTCATTGTCGCGCCCTGGCAATCCTGAGCCGTTCCAAAACATTGTTTCTGGCACGTCAAAACGAAGGTGCGCGGCGCTGAGGCGAGAACCACATATTGAAAAAGGAACCGCCCTGAATCCGCGAAGCTCTTGCACATTTTTGAAACGAATGTGCGCGGCGCTGAGGCGAGAGCCGCATTTTGAAACGACCCGCTCTCAATCCGTGAAAGCCTGGCAAATGTTGAAGACGAATGTTCGCGTCGCTAAGGCAAGAGCCACATTTCGAAGACGATCCGCCCTCAAACTCTGAAGCTCTTGCAAATGTTTGAAGCGAATGTTCGCGTCGCTAGGGCGAGAGCCACGTTTTGGAAGCCACCCGCCCTCCGTTTGTGAAACTCTGGTCAATGTTTAAGCTTCAGGGTCATCATGGTGAGCAGGCGAAGCGCCTGGCCCGCCCATTCGACCGGCCTCGGGGTGCGACAAGGAGGAGTTTTTCATTAGGAAAGAATAGAAATCGATGAGGTTTGAGGTGGATTTGGAGCGGGAGGGAGGTGGGATGATAAGGAGGAGGTGGGCTTGGAAGGGTGAGGAAGAAGCGATGATACGGACGATAAGGGGGATTTGCGAGGATGATGAGGGGTCGCAGAGGGAGGAGTCATGGGGAAGATGTGGAGACGAAAGAGGACCGGGCGGGATGGCGAGACGAAAGGAGGAGGCGGACGAGGATGATGATGTTGAGGAGGAGACGGATACTAATGAGAAGGAGCAGGAGAAGGAGGCGCATGCTAACGCTTTCAGGAGGGCACTATGCATCCCCATTTTCTGTCAGGGCCTACATTCATAACTGCTGCTGGATTGTAGCTAGCCCAGCCGGAAATGAGCCTCTTGTTTTATTAGTTTGATCCTTGTGGCTGCTAGTTCAGCAGTGAGATCTGGGGCTCCCCGCGTGATGAGCACGTAACATACCATCATGATCTCGGGCCATGCTTCCTTGCAGGCTCTCAGCATGTCGGTTGCCTAGGTATGTCATTCGATGGGCAGTGGGAGCATCCGTCCTTGACCGCGTCTGTTCGCTGTGCTTTTCCTCCTCCTCCTCCTCCTATCGCCCACACGGGCTGAGGGCCGCCCTGAGCATGTGCCCTTGAAGCAACGTGATCTGTAGAGGGACGTGCCAGAATTCCACGCAGGGGCGCAGCACGTGCAGCATGAGTCGTATTGTATGCACCCTCGAGCGCAGAGCCGAGCCTCTTCTTCTTCTTCTTCTTCTTCCTCCTCCTCCTCCTCCTCGTCCCCCTCCTCCTCCTCCTCCTCCTCCTCCTCCTCTTCCTCCTCCTCCTCCTCCTCATCATCATCATCATCATCATCATCATCACCATCCACCTCCTCCTCCCCCTCTGACGGCAGCCAGCCCGCGGCGTGCCCGCCTGGCAGCATTTTGGCCGCGCCGCGCACGGCCCGCTGGTGGTTCGCAGGGGGGGGGCGGGGGCACACGTCCTTCCCCGCCGTCTTGCCTCCTCGTTGTCCTCCTCTCCCTCCTCCGCCTCCTCTTCCGCACCCTTCCCCCTCACCCTCCTCTCCCAAAGAACAAGAAGAGACAACGCAGGGACTGCAGGAGCACCACACACGCTTCCAACTTCTCCTCACACGCCCCCTCCGCCTCCCAGTCTTCCTCCTTCTGATAAGAACCGACGCCGTCATCACTCTTCCCTCGGTTTCCTCCGACTCCTCCCTCCCTCCCTCTCCTCCCTCTCCTCCCTCTCCTCCTCTTCCTCCTCCTCTTCCTCCTCCTCCGCCTCCTCGTCTCTGCCTTTTGCGTCGTGGCCAGACAGGGCGAAGGCGGCCTGGATCAGCCAGCAGGGGCTCGTTTCTCCCCCTCGGCCTGGGTCCGGGGCTGCGGCCTGCAGGCTGGAGGGGGTTTTACGTAGCACCTGCACTTGCGGATACGAGTGAGGGGGCGGGCGCGGGGTGGGCCGCGGGTGGGTCGCGAGTCGGTCGCGGGGTGGGTCGCGGGTGGATGGCGGGGGGGACAACAACATCGCCACCACAAACAGCAACAGCAGCAACAACAACAGTCAATTTAAGACTGTTCGCTCTTATCTGCTCGCGTGCCGTTCAACATGTATATCCCCAACCTTCGATACCCGCCTTCTATGTATTCGATCGTACCCCCTTAGGTGTATTTCTTTCTTACCTGAAGCGTGCATTTCGTGCGGCCCCTAAGGCAGGGGAAGAGAGGACGAATGGAAGGACGGGACAAAGGGCAGGCGGGTTGCTGAAGCGTACGTCCTGTATGAATCGCGAGGAAGTTTCGAGCGATAGCGCGATTCCCAAATACATAGCGAGGACATCCACAGCGAGAGCGTGATTGCTGAGTGTCGAGGGCGCGGCATCTGAATGACTTCGATGAAGTACCACGCGAGAGCGCGATTCCAGCAGGCGGGAGCCGTTGTTGTTATTGTTGTAGTTCGGGCCCACCAAATGAGTTTGGTGACCCCTCACTCTCCCTTGGAGAAAACAGAGTGCGAGCCCCGGGATAAGTATTTTAACTGAGTGATGCAATGTTTGCTACAAGGGGGGCTAATTATACTTACAATGATAACTCAACATCAACAGCAATCATTTTAAGACTGTTCGCTCTTATCTGCTGGCGTGTCATTCAACACGTATATCCCAAACGCTCGATACCCGCCCTCGCCGTCTTCCATCACATCCCCTTGGATGGGATATCTTTCTTACCTGCAACATGCATGTCGTGCAGCCCCTAAGGCTGGGGAGGAGAGGACGAATGGAATGAAGGGACACGGGGGAGAGAGGAGGATGGATCACGAGAGTGAGAGAGTACCAGGTGAGGGGGCTAGGAGCACGTGGCAGAACCGGTCGGGCAGAGCGGGCGGGTAGACCCTAACGAGCGGGTCGGGAAGGCGGGCCCAGGCGGCCAGGTCGAGCAAGCGGTTTGCTGAAGCGTTCGTCTTGCATGAATAGCGAGGAGTTTTCGAGCGACAGCGCGATTCCCACATAAATCGTGAGAGATCCATTGCGAGAGTGTGATTCCTGAGTGTCGAGGGCGCGGCGTTTGAAGACATTGCGATGAAGTCCCTCGCGAGAGCGCGATTCCTGTTTAAATTGTAAGGCAACAGCAGCACCACCATCATCAACAACAACAGCCATCATTTTAAGGTTGTTCGCTCCTATCTGCTCGTGCGCCATTCAGAACGTATGTTCCAAATTCTCGATACCCGCCCTCTTCGTTTTCGATCGTATACCCTTGGGGGTCTATCTTCCTGACCTACCAGGTGTACTCAGCGCAACCCCTTAAACAGTGGAAGAGAGAACGGATGGACGGGGGAGGGACAATGATAGAGCACGAGAGAGATTAGCAGCAGGGGGGCTAGGAGCGGAAAAACGTGGCAGACACAGACGGGCAGACTGGGCAGGTAGAACCTAACGGGTGGGTCGGGGCGGGTTGCTGAAGCGTGAGTCCTGCACTAACCGTGAGAAGCCTCGAGCGATAGCGCGGCTCCCAAGTAAGTTTTTAGAGTGGCTAGAGCGAGAGCGTGGTTCCTGAGTGTCGACGGCGCGGCGTCTGAAAAAATGCAAGGCAATCCCACGCGAAAGCGCGACTCTTGCATACATCGTGAGGAAATCCCGCGAGAGCGCAATTCGGGAATATACTCGGAGGAAGTATCGTGCGGGAGCCTTTGTTGTTGTTGGGGCCAACAGTGCATCCTGAGCTCCAGAATTCCCGTTGTAGAAAGCGGGGTGCTAGCCCTAGGAAGAGCATGTTTATGGGAAAACCAGGAGTGGGCGCCAGGCAGGGGGGGGGTCAACAATAATTGTCATTTAGAAATGAGAACTTAACAACAACAACTTCACCAATCATTTTGATATTGCTCAGTTTCATCTGCTCGCGTGCCATTTAATATGTGTATCCCTGGCC